CGGAGGTGGCGGGAGAGGAGAGGACGAGAAGAGAGAGAGGAGAGACTGAGATGAGGCGATCGGTAATGAAGAGTGAGAGCGGAGAGAGAAGAGAGCGCGGATGAGGGAGAGAGAGAGACGAGAGAGATGGAAGGAGAGACGAGAAGGAAGAGACGAGACGAGAGGAAGCGGAGACGGAGTGAGAACGACGTGTCAGATGGAGAGGAGAGAATGAGAGGAAGAAGAGACGAGGAGAGCGAGAGAAGAGAAGCTATTACACCGCAGAGGGGAGAGATGCGCTACATGTACCACCGAGCTCTGGCAGAGAGACAGGATGGAAGAGGCCAGAGAAAGAGAGAGAGAGGCGGAACGGAGAGAGAGAGAGGCGCAGAGAGAGAGGAGAGAGGAGACTGAGCCGAGATGAGCGGGAGAGAGAGAGAGGGAGAGAGAGACGAGGGATAGAGAGAGAGAGAGAGAGAGAGAGCCCCCCGATGAGAGAGAGATGAGACGCATGAGAGAGAGAGAGCAGAGAGAGAGAGAGAGATTAGAGGAGAGAAGAGAGAGTAGCAGAGAGAGAGAGAGATGCAGGAGCAGAGAGGCAGAGAGAGAGAGAAGAGGAGAGAGAGAGAGAGAGAGAGAGGAGAAAGAGAAGGAGCAAGGAGAGAGAGCGAGAGATGAGAGTGATAGAGCTGAGGAGTGAGATGGAGAGTGAGAGTCGGAGAGATAGAGAGCGAGAGAGAGAGGAGAGAGAGAGAGAGAGAGAGAGAGAGAAGAAGCGAGGAAAGACAAGACAAAGAAAGAGAAAAACAATGAGCGGAGTGAGTGTGAGCGAGCTAGAGAGAAGGGAGAGATGAAGAGCTGAAGGGAAGAGAGAGCGGGAGACTAGGGAGAGAGCAGAGAGAGAGAGAGAGCAGAGAGAGAGAGAGTGATTGCAGCGCGACGAGAGAGAGTGTGTCGAGCGAGAGAGAGAGGACGAGAAGAGACGAGCTGCGAAGGGAAGAGAGAGCAAGAGCGAGGAGCGAAAGAGAAAGAATGAGAGAGACAACGAGGGAGAGCGAACGCGGCGATGGGAGGATGCTCTTGATTCGTTTGCCAGTCAGTTTAGCATCAGAACACCTGCCGTCAGGTGAGCGCTGTCGCTCTGCGGCACTTGTTGAAATTTCTGAGAACAGGGCCACTGAATTCTTGCATACTGTGCATACAGGCATAATGCATACAGTATTACGAAATACAATAATAAGTCCGGAAATTATATATTAGACACTGATCTAACTGCAATCGGTGTCATGTGATTATAGGACATTTGTAGCGAGCGTTTCTACGTGTGTGCATTCGTGCGTGCGTGTACACAAACATTCGTGCGTGCATGATGGCATGCGTGCGTGTGTATGCTCGTGCGTGCATGCGAATGGCTAAGGCTCTTTGCTTGCGTGTGCAGAACGTGTGTGGATGCGTGCATCCTTCTAAGACACTTCGCTTGCGTGTGCAGAACGTGTACGTGAATATTAACCGCATCATGACGGTGGCAACGCGGCTCATCGAAGCCGGACACTACGCCGTGCACCAGATCAAGGTGATCGCCGGCAAGCTCGACCGCGAGTGGAAGACGTTCGCCGCCTCGATCGATGACCGTAGCACCGTGCTCACGATGTCCGTCATGTTCCACAAGAAGGCCGAGCATGTGAGCGTCGTCGCTAACGCAGCGCGAAAACGATATGTACAGTCAAACGTGTGTTAGCGGCCACCTGTCTGGAGAGGCCAGTGTTGACGATTCTCCTGGGTGGCAGTTATAGAGTGAAAGCATTGCTATAGAATGGCCACCTGTCCATAAAGGCCACTTTTGCCAGTTTCCCTTGAATGGCGGTTATATACAGGTTTGGCTGTATGTGGTAATCATATCTATTGTTGATTCACAGTGGCTCCAGAAGTACGAGCGTTCCTGAAGGTACAGATTCATCACCAGCTAAAAACAATGTCAAACCTGTATGTAACTGTCAGTCAAGACAAAACTATAAAAGCATCTTTTAAAAACGCGTCAGTTATGTCGAGTTGGTGTCACCGTGTGACTGTCATTCAAGGGCAACCCCAGAAGTATCCATAATAGGCAGCTGTCTGTTCTATAGAGGTGTCTGCTGAGACTGATACGTTCATTCATAATTATTTTTCCAGTCCTAGCTCAGCTAGCGTAGTAAAATCGCACTCCAGTGTGCTGACTTAGGCATCTTAGTCAGTAATATGTAAGAGTTGAGATTTACCGTTATCGCCAACAAATTCGGCAACAATTCGGCAACAAATATCGGCAACAATTGATTAGGGACATCATGATTAGTGGTGGTGCAGGTAGAATAGGAGATAGAACAGGAGATATTAGCAAAGTAGGAGAGCTTGAAACAAAGCAGGGTGTATTTAGGGGTTGGGCAGAGTCAAACAAAGGCTATTTAATGGGGGAATTCAGTAAAATAAAGAGTATGTAGTGACGGTGTGGGGAGCGAAATAGGAAGTGCATGCAGATATATTACTTAACTAGGGGGTTTCTAGAAAACTTACATGAAAATGGCAAGGATGTCATGGAATTGCATAGCATAACAAAAAGGATTCAGTTATATTTGCATTGCTGCAAAATCTGCTGTCTGTGTTACGTAGGTTCATCAGTAACTATGCCCATTGCTTGTCTATTTCCAGTACCTGACCAACATTAACCACTGGTTGTCACAGTGTCATTGTGATGAGCTATCAAGTGACGTCAGCAATCTGGAAGCAATGATTCACCAACATCAGAGCTTCTACGAGGAAGTCACTCAGTGCTACACTGAGGTAAATCAGTTACAGCCAGTACAAGGGTGTGAGCTGACATATCTGTGAAGAGTTTGGCTAACTATCGCTCATGATTTGCCCCAAAAGTGTACATTGTATTTTTTATCCCATAAAATGAATTGTTGCATTTTGAGGAGCATGCATTGCATTTATGATATTCATGAGGTTTTAACACGAGGGTTTGTTAATATGGAATGATTATGCTTTAGTGATAGACACTTACCAATATTCGATTAATTGTAACTACTAATATAGACCATCATTAACACACACAGATACAGACATATATATACACATATATATATACATATATATATATATATATATATATATATATATAATTTATATATATATATATCCACATGAATTAATAATTTAGAATAATTGAATGCTTGTAACAGTGCCTGTTTACATACTTCATGTCTACCCTAAACTAATATCTAACGTAATTATTAAAACCGATTGCAGTGTTTAGTAGTCCATGAATCTATGTTTACTAATGCTCTATTGAGGTTGTGCGCTGTAAGAGTCGGTCCTTCATGAATCTCTGTGTCTCACAGCATCCTGGACCTCCTCTTTACCGGGCGATGGGGGGGAATGAGGGGGGGGGAGCGGTCTTGCATGTGCATGTTGCGCGGCTTGTCTAATCTGCATGCCGTGTGTCGCGTTGTTCGCAGGCTAACCACTACTCGCGCAAGCTGATGCAGATGCTGCGGTTGCTCGTGCGCGCCTGCTGCAGCCCTCCATCGTCGAGTACGGACAGCTCGCCTGACCACGTACGCGAGTAGTTTATGTCGGCACAGCGGCCCTAGTTCTCAGCTTCTCGCTGTGATATGCTGTCAGGCGGACAGTTGCAGTCTGTCTGTCGTTAGATTTTGAAAGTTTTTACAGTTCAGCGAAATTGTTTGTTTTCGCTGATTTAAATAATAATTTAATATTTGAGGTCAAAATTATGCTATTTACATGTCGTGAATGTAAATACGTTTGTATTGCATAGAGTGTGTGAATTCTATGTTAGTATATTTTTGTGTATTTCACATAGTTTCCTATATTTTGGTACGTCAAATTGCTCCATTGCTTTACATTTTATACATTTCTGTGAAATTTGATTACGCAAACCACAACCGCGCACGTGCGTCCCTCTATCTGTGCATCCGTCGCAGCTGCAGGTACACGCCCGTGTGATCTGACAACGCGCACGTGCATTTACTCCTACCGCATCCCTGTTGCAGACGTGCTCGGACGGGAAGCTGCTGCTGGAGTCGCTGCAGCATCCGCTGCGTCACGCATCGTCGTCGGCGATGTCGGCTGCCGCGCAGGACTACACGAATTCGGCGACGCACGTGCTTGACGTGCTGCACGAGATCATCTCGCGGCATCGGCAGTACGAGCACCACTGGCAGATTAAGAAGGTGAAGCTGCATCAGAAGTTGGGATTGTGCCTTTTCAAGCAAGATGTGCAGCAGGTGAGCACTTGTCATTCAGTGTCAAGTAGGAGTGTAACGATACAATTTGTTTTGGTTCGGTTCATTCGGTTCGGTTATTTTCAGTAGTAAAAGATTAAAAATGCTGAGAAGATGGGGAAATTTTCCCTCCATTTTGAATAACAATAATAATACATCATAATATTATACATTTATTGTGTTATTCATTGGCCAAAAGACAATAAAGTAATACAGTTCAAGGATAATAGTCATAATACTATTCATTAACGTGATCTACCTGACCAAAATAGACTATTAGACTAGTAATCTCACGCATTGTCACCCCGCACACGCTGAGAATAGTGCGAGGGACGGGGCTTCTTGGCATAAGTGCTGACTGCTGAGCTGTTTGCTCGCCGTGTGCGCCCCCCTAACTGAGAGTGGGTTGAATGTATTTCCCGGAACCGAACCGAGAACCGAAACGAAAAAAACAAAACGAAAACCGAACTGAACGGGATGTTCCGCGATACAGTTGAATCGCGGTTAATCGTTACACCCCTAGTGTCAAGTGTCGCACCCCGAGTATACGTGTGTGTGGGTGGGTGGTTGGTGTGGTGGTGGTGGTGGTGGGGGAGGGGGGGGGTGGTAGATAATAGCCCATAGGTCAAGATTACAGCTTGTATTAGCTTATTTCACAAGGGAATCTTAAACAGCAATCTTAAAACTGGAAAAGAACAGGAATCAGAAACTAGATATCGTACTCACCGAATTGAAATTGACTTGGATCGATCTTACATGGGAATCAGTAACTAGAGTTGTTCTCGTGTTCTCGTGTTCTAATGTTCTCGTTAAATTGAAATCCACTCGCATTGATCTCATGTGGTAATCGGAGACTAGCGCTAACACCCACTCTCTTCGGTAACCTGGACATTCACCTTGAGCCTTGACTCTAAATCAAATAAAGACTTTGGAAAACAACTAGTTGGTTACAATTAAAAATTGCAGATGATATTTTCTGGCTAGGTAGGTAGGCATGAAAACTCTGTACACATAGTGTGATTATCATTTATTATATATCATATTATTATATACCTGCGCAAGTTTAATAATTAACAAGTGGAAATTTGTGTGAACAAAAGTTTAACTATCGAAATATACGTTTTCTTAAATTCAGGTGCTAGACTGGCTGGAGAATCATGGTGAGGTGTTTCTACTGAAAAACATGGGTATAGGCAAGTCACTACAGCGTGCAAAGGCACTGCAGAAGAGTCATGAACATTTTGAAAATGTTGCTCAGGTGATTACTAATGTAAAAGCTAGTGTATCAGTAGCTGCTGTTTATTTTGCTATTTAAGCGATCACTTGTCAAGGCTTGACATTTGTTTAATCTTTTTGTTGCATAGACCCAAAGAGAGCAGTAAATTTGGTGTCCAGATGTGTTTGTTCATTTTTTATCAGTATTCTGGTTGCTACTGGTTATAGTGACTGTACAAAACAATCTGTTCAGCGATTATTACTACTGTAGCATCTTAAGTCAGGGTAACTGACATGGTACCCAATCATGATAGCAGAACCGCACTGTTATTACATTTTGTGCTATTTATTAATTTATGTTAATTACAAATTATATGCTTAAATATAATGTCGTGCACGTCTGTGTGACATAATCACACGTCTCGTAAAAACAAGATCTCCTCTCCTCCTCCCCCTCTCTATCTCTCTCTCCCCCTTTCACTCTCTCGCTCTCTCTATCTCTCTCTCTCTCTCTCTCTCTCTCTCTCTCTCTCTCTCTCACTATATATACATATATATATATATCTGTCGTTTATGCTCGCTATGTGAGCAGAACACGTTCACAAATGCGGATAAGCTGCTGCAAGCGGCGGAGGAGCTTGCGCAGACCGGTGAGTGCGATCCGGACGAGATCTACGCGGTCGCGCACGAGCTGGAGAGCCAGATACAGAGCTTCCTCGCGCGCGTCGAGCAGCGACGCATCCTGCTCGAGATGTCCGTCTCCTTCCACACGCACACCAAGGAGGTAAGCTTGTGTTAGTTAGTTAGTTAGTTAGTTAGTTAGTTAGTTAGTTAGTTAGTTAGTTAGTTAGTTAGTTAGGAGTAAGTTATAGTGTAGTGCAGATGCACACGTATGCACACGCACACCAAGGAGGTAAGCTCTTAGTGTAGTTCCGATTGTGTAACACATGCATGCACGCACACACATGCACACACGCACACCAAGGAGGGGCGCTCTTAGTGTAGTGCCGATTGTGTGACGCGTGCATGCACACATGCACACACACACACACACACCCTAAGTAGGTGAGTTTTTCATGTAGTGCTGACAGTGTAACGTGCACGCACACATGCACACCAAGGAAATGAGCACTTAGTGTAGTGCTGACAGTGTAAGGAACCTACATGCACGCACACGCGCACACCAAGGAAGTGAGCTCTTAGTGTAGTGCTGACAGTGTAAGGAACCTACATGCACGCACACATGCACACCAAGGAAATGAGCACTTAGTGTAGTGCTGACAGTGTAAGGAACCTACATGCACGCACACGCGCACACCAAGGAAATGAGCACTTAGTGTAGTGCTGACAGTGTAAGGAACCTACATGCACGCACACGCGCACACCAAAGAGGTGAGCTATTGATGTTATATATACACGCACACGCACAGACACAGACACAGACACAGACACAGACACAGACACAGACACAGGCACACAGACACACAGACACACACACACACACACACACACACACACACACACAGACACAACACACACAGACACACACACACGCACAG